TGGGATGGTTAGTTATAACTTCAATTGTACTTAATCACGAAAGAAAATAAAGGTGCTGATAAACTGTGCAGACTACATTGGCTTGCACTGAAACAAACCGTGTAGCACCAGGCGACAAGATGAATCATTAAGCATTTTCAAAAACACCTTTTACATTCTTATATAAAGAGTAATACCATGTTAGCAGCATCTCCAAGTTCTTTGGATACCCTTGTCATGTCAGGTATTTGCATTTTAACCTACACAGTTTTGGCCAAAAACTAGAGAGCCATCTCAAGTTTGCCATGGTCTGTTTTTACCCAGTGGGATTTTGGAACATTTTTTTTTCTTTTTTGTTCTTCTCTAGCTGTGGCCACACCAAGGTTTTTCTCTGCCTTGGCTTCCAAACAGCAGTTGGGGAGGGGGGGGGAGAGCATTAGCACAGTGCCAGCCTCTAACTATCCACTTTTCAAGTTTCCCCTGTCCTTGGAATATTCTTTCTCAGCCCTGGTTTATTTTTTTAAGCATTTTTAAACTTTAATATCTGGTTTGGTATGATCTTTCCAGCAAGAACACAGTCCAAACAGGTTAGCAGTCCAAACAGGTTAGATAGGAAGAGGTGCATTTTCAAAAGTCCTCCCCACAACAGTGCCCTTTTTCTTGTCAAGTCACCAAACAGCTTTTAAAAAAATTAGTGATTGCTATTGTACTATAGTACAATGCTGATTGGTTGACATAATCTATTTGCTCTCTCTTTTTTTTGTTTAAAAGTCTTCAAAAAGCCCTCCAGTGGTGCAGCAGGAGAAAAGAATGTGGAGAAAGTAGCAGCTGACAGAGGAAAGTGCACACAAAACTTCTGTGCGGATGCTCTTTGCCAGTGTGAATACCTCTGCATTTGCAGCAGTAATGACAGGGAGACAGAGAATCCTTGCTCTGTCAGGATACAGTTTACCAGGAAGGCTGGGGAGCTGTAGTTCATGAACACAAAACCAACATACTTTGGATATAAGAACTATCTGACTGGTTCTTTGGCTCCTAGCCTGTGTGTGTATACTGCCCCACGTGCACCTAAGGTAAGGTTCCCTTGCTTGAAAGCCAGTCGAGTCCGACTCTAGGGTTGCGGTGCTCATCTCCATTTCAAAGCTGAAGAGCCAGCGCTGCCCGAAGACGTTTCCGTGGTCATGTGGCCGGCATGACTAAACACCAAGGCGCACGGAACGCTGTTACCTTCCCACCGAAGTGGTGCCTATTTATCTACTTGCAATTTCTTGCTTTCGAACTCTGCTAGGTTGGCAGGAGGCCCTACGTGCACACACGTCATTAAGATGGAAGAAGAGGTGATGGCTCAGTGGCAGAGTACTTGCTTTGTGTGCCAATGGCCCCAAGTCCCTGGCCAGCAGCAGCTGTTGAGAAAGTCCTTTCTGTTCAAGATCTCTGAGAGCAGCCAATCAGAGTGGAATCGCAAAGGACACACATGAAGCTGCCTCATACTGAATCAGACCATTGCTCCATCGAGGTCGGTACTGTCTACTCAGACTGACGGCAGCGGCTGCAGCGGAAGCAGAATCTTTCACATCACCTACTGCCTAGTCAATTTAACTAGGAGATGCCAGGGATTGAGCCAGGGACCTTCGGCATGCAAAACTGAGGCTCTTCCACTGAGCCACAGCCCCTCCCCTGAAGGAAAGGCCTGGTCGTTTGCAGTGGATGTCATTTCAGTGAAAAATAATAAAATTCCAAGTAGAAAATTCTTGAAATCAATCCAGTCACTACATGCTTCAGAGATTTCACTACACTGTCTTACCAAAAATGCACTAGATACCAGAAGTCTATTTTTATATTCAAGTGCAGCCTCAGGCCAAACATACCAGTCCCTTTCAGACTGTTAATATGTCTCCAGCCCAAAACCCTGGACTTAATCTTTGGTCCCAAACATTTTTAAATCTCAGAAATCTTAAAAATCTACAACATACCATCCAAAAGTTCTAGAAGTGGATTCCCCCCCCCCCCCCCGATAACTATGTGGGCAATGGAACAAAATAGTCATTTTTTGGTTCATTTTTTAAAAAGGATTATCAATAGCCACTGGCCATACTAGCTACAAAAGGAAAATATCCGCAATCTCTGCCCACATGCCTGATTATCTCAGAAGTGCCACTGAGCAGCAGATTGTTCCTCTCTCACATTAACAAGAAGGGAAGCTGCTATACAGTCAAAAATATTGAAGAGTATTTTGTGAGTGTTCGCTCCAATTAGAAATTACACACATTGAGTTTCTAAGGCAACTTGTAACAGCTCAGAAGGACATTAAATTAAGGTCAACACAGAAACATAGAAACAATCGCCAGGTAGCTTCTATCCTTTCTGAAAACCAGACAGCAAACTGAAGACACTCTTACTATTTCAGGAAATTGGCCCTAGCAACACACACAGTGTCCTCCCCATCACTTAACCTCTGAATGAGAGCAGGAGCACAGAAAGAACTCTAAAATATGCTGTTGAAAGCTTCTGGAAAGGTTATTAAAATATTTCTCTACACCCACTTTCTAAGTCCTACCTAGAGGTTGCCAGATTTAACTTAATATTTACGATAAGCAGTTTTAACTAGAAATATCCCAATATAGGTTCTGCAATCAAAAATGTTTAGGCACTGTGGCATTCACTAATCCTGGCAAGGAGCAGGTTTTAATCCAAAAGGTAGTTCCCTTTTGCAGCCAATTTATTGAGCTACTATAGCAGTAGCAGCTTTTAGGCATTCAACATTAATTTAAGGTACAATTTGTAAGTAGCAATGAAATTTATTTATTTATTTATACTTATATTCAGGGCTATTTTTTGGGCAGGAACGCACAGAAACGGAGTTCCGGCTGGCTCCTGAGTTGGCCACGCCCAGCAGGAACTCATTAGCATAATATGCCACACCCAACAGCAGAAACTCATTAGGATTGGCTACATTAGGGGTATGTGGCCTAACATGCAAAGGAGTCCCTGCTACAAAAAAAGGCCCTGGGTTTTGACAACAAACAGGGTCAACAGAATAACAAACAAAAGGTGGGTGGGGCTGGATGAGCACACTTCTGGTAACATGGGGGTGCGGCCTAATGTGCTAATGAGTTGTGCTTTCAGTGGTGTGGCCCAATACGCTAATGAGTTCCTGCTGTTGGGTGTGGCCTATTATGCTAATGAGTTCCTGCTGGGCTGGCTTTTTCTACAAAAAGAGCCCTGCGTTATATTTATACCCCTCCCACCCTGTAAACAGACTCTGGGCGGCTTACAGAAGACGGAAGAAGAAATGTAATGTTTTGTTAAGTCTGGAGCAAAGATAGCCTAGAGAGCAATTTCCAAGTCTTTCTAAGAATTACTAAATATTATCCCATGTTTTAAAATCAACAACAAAAAAACACTGACCTTTGTGAACAGAAGACAAATTCCCCAGCCTGTTATGCAAATCAGGCACATTCACATATACTTGCTGGTGGTGTTCATGGGTGCTATAGGCAAAGGTCTGATTCCCCTCCAACCACTAGTAGCTTCACTTCTAGGAAGCACCCAGAAATTTATTTCCACAGCCAAAAGCCCAGAAATTTAAAAAAAAACAAAAAACAAAAACACAGACATTCTTAGGATGGTGAATGCTGCACTTAAAAAAATAAAAAATAAAAACAGACATTCTTAGGATGGTGAATGCTGCATCTGCTCCTGATGTTAAAATCACAAAGGTTCTGCAATCAATATGGGTAGTTCTGCTCTTCAATATGGGTAGTTCCCACACTTTGGGGGGAGATGGACTTTAAGTGACAGGAAGATCAAAGGAGATAGGATGGAATGAATCTTACAGGCTCAAGTGAACTCTTAGGAACCAGGATATCAGGGAAACAAGACACAAGCATGGAGTACGGGGCTTCACCAACAACTGCAGGCACTGTCAACAAACCTAAAAATGAGGAATTTTCTGTCCCACAACTGCTGACATTGGTCTGCATTCACAAATGAGATGCCTTAAAGTTTGACCTGCTGGCTTTGTCAAAGGAGCACTGAACACAGAGAGAGAAAGCACCTTTCCCATGCACACTTTAGTTGGGGCAACATTTTTTACAGTTTGAGAAGAATGGACACTGTCTCTTATGGACAGTGAGATCCAAAAGATACCCTTCCTCTCATGAGAGGGCAACTTTGGATTAAACCCTTTAGCATATTAGTCTTGTAACTGACCTAAGTGTAGGATGCAAGCAACACAACACACAAAGCCAAAGAGCCTCAAATTGCCAGCTATAAACCCCAGTTGCCTACCTGCACAGTACATTATTTTTCCATGAAACACCACAGACAGAAAGCTGAATCCATGTAAACGGGATGGATTCTGTCCACGTCACTAGCAAAAACTAAGTTTTCACCGTGAAAATTTCTCAAACGTTTTGCAAATTTGCTTAGATACCTAAAGTTAATCTACATATCTCCAATTAAATTATTCAAAAATTTAATTCAAAAAAATGATTGACCTAATTTGAAACTGAAGTTTGCAGCCACGCAAATCAAACTCTCAATATAACTACACAGTTTCAAGAATGTGGCAATGCATGTATCACAATGAGATTTTTCTATAGCTGAGCGTTAAAATGAGGATGGGGGAAAATTAACTTTCACTGAGATAAGTGTCTTGACAAACGGAAAGGACTCAAAATCAACTTTGCATTACTTGGTTTGGCTCCACAAGCTGATCTCTTTCTAGAGGGAAAAGAATGTGCAACACGTGGCAACATCAGGCTTAGTTCATAGCTAAATGTGGTCACAGACAGAACAAGCATTGCACTTTCTGGGTAGTTCAAAGCTTATTTCATTGCTATCATTCCAAACCCCCCAGCCAAACACCTGACATGGATGTCTGTTATAGGAACACAGTCAATCATTAGGAGTGTAAGAAACTAAAAGTAACTGTCAAATCTTGCTAAGGGAAACGCACATAGTGTTTCATGTTATTGCTATTGCTCCTTTGGATTCTTCCCTCCCCCCAAATGTAAAACATCTGTTTATTGGAAACCCTTAGTTTCAAAAGAACAATCCAGGGCCGGTGTTGATTCTAACATTTCTACTGGATGATGGAAACCAAGTCCCTCCATGGATTCATTAACTCAGAAATGAATGGTGCACCACACAGTTGTTCACTCTAAAATATTGTCACCGTTCTTCATGATTGTAGACAAAAATCTGCATCTGCAAAAGTCCATTTTTACAGCCCTCAAGCCAATTGCTTCCAGTTGTCCATTCTCTTCCCTCTCTTTGTACATGCCAGTGCTCTCTGCCACCATACGCTCCTCCATTTCCTATAAAAGTGGGGGAAATTGTAAAAGGTCTGCAGGCTTCTTCTTTTTTTTCCTTTGGGGTTCCTGCTCTGTGCACAAGCTTCTTTCACCCATCCAAGCGCTGAATCTCTGGGCGGTGATCTACTTCTCTCGATTCTGTCCGCGCCCGCATATAATCACTGGTCTGCCGTGTGTTTTGCTGCCGGCTGTTAATTCTCCAGTTTTTAACTGCTAAAAATGAATTCACAGCATAGACTGCAGTTGCCAGGAAACCAAATATCTAAAGGGGGGGGGAGAGAGAAAATGTCATTGAAGTGATAGTGGCTCATCTTTAACTGAGAAATAATTCAGCACTTTTATAACTCCCCCCGCCCCCACAACAGTAACATAGTGGCTCTACTGCTGGCTTTAATTCTGTTGTTGATTTTGTAGCTCCAACTATAATGGTGGTCACACAGGGTGCATTCACACCTCATGGCGCTTGAAGGTCCTTTGAGCACAAGTCAGAAATAATACCTGTCCCTGCCGCTGATCAGGTATGATACTGCTTGCCTCTGTGGAGTATTTGGCCTCCTGTTGGTATCTTTTATATGGGGAGGTCCACAGGTGTGGCTATAGGCTTCACAAAATTCCTATATGCTTACTCTCCTGGCCTCCCTGGATTCGGGAATGAGAGAATCTATACAAAACAACAGTGTTTTGCACTAATGATATCAAAGTAGACCTTTATTAAATGCCATTGTGGTAGGTGGACTAAAGTCATACTGGACACAAGGAAGACAAAACTTGACCCAGGCTTCTGTTAGCCAGGAGGGCTTCCTTACTAGAGCTTTCTTTTCAAAAGTTACTTCTTGTGTGCTGCTAGGTCACCTGTAAACATGCCACCAAAACATCTAGAAAAAAGTAAGAAATCATTCTGTGATTATAGATGATGCTAAAATAACACACCCATATTTAAGCAGAAATACTGATGGTGTGGCAAAGGTCTCCAATTCGTAACGGGTGCATTTGCATTTATTTATATCCTGTTTTTCTTCCCAGTTAGGATTCAAAGTGGCTTAGAACACCCGCTCTCCCTTCCTCCATGCTCTTTCAACAACCCTATGATGCAGGCCAGGCTGAGAGTCTGTGATCGGCCCAAGGTCACCCAGCAGGCTTCCATGATAGAAGTGGGGATGCCAACCCAGGACTCCCAGGATCCTGATCTGACACGCTATCCACACCGGCTCTCAATTGGCCAATTGAAATAAAAGGGCTTGTTTGTTTATCATCCATGTTTTTTCTAATGAATATGAGTCAGTGCAGTGTGATGGTAAGCATGTCGGGCTTGAGAAGACTGGGTTCAAACCCCGACTCACTCATGAAGGTCCCTGGGTAACCTTGGGCCTGTCACTCACTGTCAGCTTCAACTTCATCACAGAGTTGTTGCAAGGAGAAAATGAGGAGGAGAACCATGTACATCACCCTGAGCACCTTGGAGGAAGGATAGGATTAAAAAAAAAACATGAATTGATTCTAACATGAATTGATTCTAACAGCCATGGCTGAATGTTGAAGGCTGATAGTAAACAAACAAGCCAAAAACCCCATGCTCTGCAGCATGAAAGGTGCATCAATGGCCATCTCTTTAATGTTCCAATGAGGGGTGTCCATTCGGCAATAGCAAAAACCCCCCAAAACCCCGAAAACCCCCCGAAAAATACCTTGTTGGTATTTTTCGGACACATCAATGGCCATCTCTTTAATGTTCCAACTAGGGGTGTCCATTCGGCAATAGCGAAAAAAACCCCAAAACCCGAAAAAACCCCGAAAAATACCTTGTTGGTATTTTTCAGGTATCATATAAGCTGAAGCTGAACCTGAAAAAGCCAATATTATCCAGTTTTGCCAATATTATCCAGTTTTTTCAGGTTCATTTTGCTATACCGAAAACAAAGTCTTTAAACATAACAGCTGGAGCTGCCAGTCAGCTGTTGGGTTTAAATGCCTTTCTTTCCCTTCCCGAGATTGAAAGAAAGGCATTTTAAACATGCCTGGGTTCCCTGCCCGATCTTCTCCAGGTGCCCCGCAGACATGTCCCCTTCCTTCCCTGAGCCTCTCTGCTTTGTGGAGGAACTCGGGGAAGTGGGGGGCATGTTTAAATGCCTTTCTTTCCCTTCCCGATCTGGGGACGCAAAAGAAAGGCATTTTAAACATGCCTGGGTTCCCTGCCTGATCTTCGGATAAATCAGCCGTGGGGCACCTGGAGAAGATCAGGCAGGGAACCCAGGCATGTCTGCATGCCTGCCCTTTGCTTCCCCAGCCAGCCCGCCCAGGCGGGAGGCATGCAGACATGCCCCCTTCCTTCCTTGAGCCTCTCCACTTTTGTGGAGAAACTCGGGGAATGGAGAGAAGGGGGAGGGAAAGAAAGGCATTTTAAACATGCCTGGGCTCCCTGCCTGCCCTTCTCCAGTTACCCCTTGTCAGCTAGAGAAGGAAAGGCAGAGAGCAGAGGTTCTCCCTTGTCAATTTCACTCACAGCTGACTGGCCCAGAGTGAAATTGACAAGGAAATCCCTACCAGAGGGAAAGAAGGCATTTTAACATGCCTTCTTTCCCTCTGGTGGTGTATATCAGACCCGAATATATTGAACTGGGGAAATTTGGCATTTACCAACATTTTTCGGGTCTGATTTACCTGCAGCTGAAAAATACCAGCATTTTTTTTTGCACACCCCTAGTTCCAACCATGTTGTTGTTAATAACACATTATCATTATTAGTGATCATTTTACAAGATGGGAAATTTGAGCAAAATGTACAATACACCTTGGCACAAGTTCATTCATTATCTTTCCTGCAAAAGAATGAAAAGAAATTCAGATTTGTCTTACCACAGCTGCAATTTCTGCTCCTTTTTTATGGTTGAGAGCAGCAAGTACTACAGATGCAATGAAAAAGAAGAAAGTGCAGAGTCCAGTATTGACCAAATCCTATTAAGATAGAAATAGGGAAGTTATTACACAGTGACTGAGCATGTAAAACAGACACAGGATTTCCCCAGTTTAGGCACATTTCATTCTTTATGTAAGGCAGCAACAAGATCTACACATGTAATAGCTGCATTACAGTTCTGAGCCTCTGGTGGCATTGGCAGTCAGGAGAGAGAGAAAACAAATCTTAGTTAAAAGAGCAAAGCCAGTAAGTTTAAAAGAACACACACACAAAACTATGCTTCTTTCATTCCAAGTGATGAACCTTAGTGCAACGTGTCTGCTCAACCAAAACCACTGTTCTTTCTTCCAGCCACAAAAATGTTATGTGAATCAACTATATAGTGAATATATAGATTTTTTTTGCCTCCTAGCTTTCTGGAAGCCAGAAAGTTACTCATATGCCTACCACATGTATCTATTGCATTATATAATATAGGACATCTGTTCTAAATAGACTGATTTTATTTGCATAAATGAGTTCTGTATCTATACACATTAACACACGTTCTCCCCACACTGGAGGATCATCTTTAAATGTGTTGGGGCTTTTTCCCTCCGCAAGAAGCAAAAAAAACCCAACCCTTTTCAGAAACTCATACAGTTCAGTTTCACAGATTTACTGTTGCCTAGCAATGCAGTTGACATGCTTCCAAGCTTTCAGCATTCCGAGCCATGTTATTAACATATTGCTATGGGCATAATTACCATTCTGACTATTCTGAGAGGTTACGGATGTAAAGGAAACTTGATCTATACTTTATTGGCTTGCCAATAAGCAGATTATGAAGAACAAACACAGAACAGTCAACATCATCATGAAAATAAATGGCCTATACAGACGTTAGAGATAAAAAGATAACCATTTTACCAGTATTTTTTCTTTTCTTTTTTCTATCACCATCCTCCCCTCCAAACCTCACCTCTATGTCTGGTAGGTTTGGAGCACTGGCTATACTTTTGTGGTAGCCTTTCCAGGACACATTTTAAAGTTTGTTTTTGGCTGTTCTGCCTTTATTCCCACCCTCATTTTTTTAATGCTAGAGTCATGTCTGATTTCTTGGGACTCACCAGCATCAAGGATTCTAACTTAGCAGGCTTCCATATTAAGAAAATGGCCAACAGGAAGCCAAAATTACAATCTCTGATGGAAGACTATATTGAACAGGGAAGGTTCTTCTAACTTCATTAGAGCTCAGGTTCATATTAAGTTGACTAAGTTGTAGGGGAATCAAAATGTTTTTTTCCCTGTGTTCAGGGTACCAACCGTTCCCCCTTGATACAATATTCTAGGATGTTGAAGTAAGCAACACATAGCATGTGTGCTGAGATCAGTGTACCATACCATTTTGCTGGGCACCCACATTGGCAGCACTGCTGGGGGCAATGGTACAGAATAAAACAATGGGTATGGCTTATGCCCATCATTGCTTCCCAGACATGCACAGCCACCAGCCAAGTCCAAAGCGAATCCACGAGATGTTGCCAGCACCACTATAACTTGGATTGCTCCAATCATATCTGGCCAGGTACAACACTCATCTCCCACCCCACCCCGTTCTGCATGCCACCATCTTCACAGATAGACACTGCATTTCTTTTGGCACTTGGACACCCCCCCCCAAAAAAAATAACCCATTGCTTACTACTGTTCTAGGCCCTAAGGGACAGCTTGATCACTTTGGGCTGCTTGAAACTGAGGAAGGCTTTTTGTTCACAACTACTACAAAGAACAAATACTATGTTATTGAAGGGTATGTATCGTCCTACAAATTATAATGATTGATCATGCCCTTTTAGGATGCTTCAAATCTAAAATATTTCATATTATTTGCTGTTGGGGGGGAGGGGTAAACCCATCAAGGGCTGCGGTCACACGGAACATTAGCCACGCTACAGAGATGGAAGATAGGCGGATTTTCCGGGCGCGATCACACCACCACATCTGGGAAGCGTAGAGCTCCCGTGCCGAACCTGAGGCTTCCCGCTGAAGATGCAGGGGAAAAAACTAGTACCTCCGTGGTACTTGTACATCTCTAGTGATGTATAAAAGCAGTTTCGGATATATATTTGAACCTCTCTCTACCAAACTTCACTTGTAAATATAAATTTCCAACCCCTGCCTGTTTATTCCAATAAATTTTGATTTCTGTTTCAACTTTCAGTGTGCCTAGGTATGAGGGAGAATTTTGAGGTACAGACCCTCCTCAGTCACAGTTTCTTATTTCGGGTGTAAGCCAGCGAAGTATCAAACAGTGATAAGATGGGACAACAGCATTAAAATAAAAGTTTATTTACCACATAAGAAGAATGACACGTTACCCAAAGGCTACTCAGTTATCAGATGGGGGACTGGAAATTCATAGGGAGATTGGAGGGAAAATCTGAGACCGTATAAGGGTGATTGTTTGACTGGAGTTGTCTGCTACATAACCCCTAATTTTCTTGGCAGTCAATCCACAAGTACTGGACTTGGTCTGGGCAGAGTTCTTCTGCACCACAGCCCTCTCTCTGCATTTTCTCAATTGTGGAGTCGGTTTATTTTCTTCCACAATAATAAGGATTTTCAGGGGAGGGTGCGGTCATCATCACTGGCATTACACCCCCCCCCCCCCCCCCCCGCATTTTCCGGCCCGTATGACCGGGCCAAGGTTTTGTTGTTTCTTCTGGTTCAAACATGGGGGAAATTATCCATCACCTCTTAGCCTCCTTCATTAAATTTTCTTCCCTGTAACTAGTAAAATTTGCAAGAGCAGCAACATGCAGTGGCAGCAAATTTACCTTAGCTGAGGCTTGTAAAGATGGGCATCTGCTTGTAAAGATGGGCATCTAATCTGATATAACCTTACAAGGATGGTGCTGACAAATGTACCACTATTGATTTATCACATCAGTAACTGCAGTATAATGTCATTATTTTAATTATATTTGGGACTGCCAAGTATGCTGGTAATATTTGCCTGTGTCTGACAATTTGTGTTCTAATCATTGTGTACTGTGATGGTTAATTGGCTAAGCAATAAATCTGAACTTGAACACTGCCAAGAAGTCCCGCAAACCATCCAAAACGTTATGAGGCCCCAATATGTCAGTTATGAGCAATGTGCAGTCTGGGAAGCTGTATTTTTCAGCCACTTGGCATGACTGCCATACTCCTATCCAAGGTGGCACCCATACAAGTGCGCGCACCACATCATGTTATGCCTCACTCCACTTGGTGGCTCCTGCACATTTTGTAAGATGCAATGCCATTATACCACTTAAGACTGACCTCCTAAACAAGCAGGATATGCCCCCCAGAGAGCAGACCTCTGCCAAATCTACAAACTTGCACACTGTAGGCAAACAGACCCAGCTGGGCAGCAGCCACAAATGCAGTGATTCAAAGATGTGATGGATCAGCACACAGATTATGGCAGTATGGGAAGTCTGGGATGGTGACAAAAACTGATGGAAATGCCACCATTTTCTTAAGGCTCAGAGGAATGGAGGACCTGGGTACTCTGCTCAGCAACTCTATAGGATCATGGGAGCAGCTTCTTTTTCAAACAAAATCAGGCATCACATAAGGGAAATGAAGAAAACAAAGAAGAATTATTGGAGGCCAATATGCATATAGGTTGCACTGCCAAAGACCTGACTTGAAGACAGTTTGAGTCCATTTGACCCACAAAGAAAGCAATTAAGATGAAAATACTGTATCAGCAGTACCTGCAGTATTCCTGAACTCTTCTGTGCACCTGGATAAGTGGGCAGCAAGAGTGGCAGGGAGTGCTTTTACCAGTTTAGATTGGTATGCCAGCTGCAGTTGTTCCTGAAGAAAGCTAATCTGGCCACAGTCACATATTGCCTTGGTAACATCGAGACTGGACTACTAAAAACACATTCGGTGTTTGAAGGCAGTCCAGAAACTTCAACTGACACAGGAAGGCAGCAACCTAAATACCAACAGAACTCCGGTCAATGAACACATGAAGCCCATTTCGTGCAATTTACTTCTAGTATGTTTCTGGGATCAATACTAAGTGCTGGTTTTGACCTTTAAAGCCCTAAGTAGGTTGTGCTCAAAGCAGGGCAGCTTTGTGCAATTGACCAGGCAGCTCTGCATCTGTCTTCTTGATGCAGAGTTGAGAAGTTGAGAGCTCAGGTCAAGATGTGAAGTGGCTGCAAGGAAAGCCAAGGCAATGAGTATAACTGTTGAGAACTTTACCGGTACCATGCCTTCCCATTCCCAGCATGCTGGCAAATTTCTCAACAAAGCCCCAGCATGCTGAGCTCAAGTTTTATCTGCATCTGCTGTGACCGCATTGCACTTAGCAAATCTCATAAGGCTAAGCAAAGAACAATTCTGATGTATGCCTGTCCATTTTGAGCAGGAAGATCTACTCAGGTTGCACGCAGCATAAGTGGGGCAATACCTGGATCAGAGTGCAGCCTCACACAGAAAGCTCCTCAAATCCCCAACCATGGCCCTATTTCTTCCTCATTACGTGTTAACAATGTGGTGGTTTCAGGGGTTGCTCAAATATTTACACTGTATGGGAAACGGAGCAAAAAGGGAAAAAAAGAGAAAGAGATGCTTCTTTAAAAATTATTTTAAGCAGACAAATATGAACAAAAATACAATGTAAAAATATCAACTAATTAGAAAAAGATGAGCTATTCTGAGCTAGGCCTCAGTGAAGACTTTCCTATGATATTTTTAGACATAGTAAAACCACATCACACGGAGGAAAGAATTTCATCTGAAATCAGAGCAGCTTCAACCCAGCAATTTCTTGCAGAAAATAGTTCACAGGACAGAACCGTTCACAGGGCCATCTAGGATGAGAATCAAAGCCAGTCTAAATAAGTAATTTAATAAAAAAACTGTTATTGCTGTAACCTTCTTGTTATGGGTCATCTTGTCCGAACACAGTAGAAGTTGTATTAGCTGGCCTTATCAAAAAAATACGAAATTAAAATTAGAAAAAATCTGGTTGTCTTCAAGCAATAAGATG